ATTGGCCAAGCCAAGGATGCAGTTCTCATTTTGACCCAAACTTGGCTCATCGGCAGGGCTCATCCTGTTGGACCCAAAGCCCAGACCTCCCCCTCGGCACCTCAGAGACTGAAAGGGAGACATGCGAGCAGGGTTTGTGCTCTCGTTAAGAGATGCATTTTAGGCAACAATTTCTTGCAGCATGGGAATGTTGAGATTTGGGACTTCAGAGCTCAACGTCAGGAAGGAAGTGGGTTGGGTTCTGTACCTTGTGTCCCCCTGGGAGCATCTCCTGCCCCTCAATCCCTCTGTCCTACCCATCCCTCGGCTATCCCCTGCTCTCCTGTCCAGCCTCTGCCTGCTCTCCAGTGGCTCACATCCTTTTTTACCAACACGTTGCTCCTCTCGCTCCTGCTTTGTCAACGATAGCTTTTTATTCCTCACCATAATTTTATATGACCATGATTTATGATCCTGAGTTTAAAAGATTTATTGCAATACACACACGGTACGGCAGGCTTAAAGGGAGGTGTTCAGCTTGGTTATTATTCTCTTAAATCCCAATTTTTCCGTAGTCTAACAAGCAGCCTCCGCACCGTGTTTTCACGACTCTTGTCCCCTAGCTTTCTAGGTTTATCTAGATGAGGAGAAAACCAGGGAAGAAAAGTCGCAGCTCTACAATTAAGAGGTTGGCTGGCATCTATGAACCCTCACGAGTAATGTAATCACCTGGGGGCTTAATAAAGCACTGGATGGTCTTCAGGCAACTGGCTGCAGGGTGAGGATTCACCAGGATCAGCGCTTGCTTATTCCACCTTACAGAGATGGTTTAAAACCCTACAGAAATTTGAGCTCCTTCCTCCCCATGAGAAAAGCAGCACATACAGCTAACATCTACTGTCTCCTCTCCCTTGCATTTGTGTGGTTTTGGACAGTGTTTTAACTGCCTAAGATGAGCAAGGGCCTTAGGTTGTCTTAAAGAGCTTAAACTGATCTAAAGCTATAAAGTGCTTAGGGGTGGTTTAAGGACATCGATTATAATTAACCAGCAAAAAGAACACAAGACACCACGTATCAAAGACCTGCGGCCGCCTCTTGTTTGGGGAGGATTTTTTATTTTTTTTTCTTTACACACCTCTTGTACAGCTCAAATCAAAGTCCCTTGAAGTCACCGAAAGTCTTTGACGAGCTCGAAGGAGCTGTTGGCATGGGAAAAGCAGGCTGCTGTGGCCATGCTTAGAGCTGAGCTTCTAGTTTTGTATCCTGGTTTTGTGGTGGCAAAACAAGCCTGGCAAACATTAAAACCCAACCACAAGCACTAGTTTCACCCGTGGTGAAAACCAAAAAGAACCCACAAGCCCTGGTCCCCTACCAAAAGGCACCTTTCAAACTGTGGCTCTTTTTAATTACTATCCTGAGGGAAGAAATATTTCTATATATATATATAGTGTATAAAATTTTCTTATATAAATAAACATTTAATTTTCTCATTTTAAATAAGCAATTTGCTCTCTCTTTTAAATAAACAGTCCCTTCTCATAAGTTAATTTTCTCATGACTCAGCATAAATCCCAAGAGGATTTCCTCCCAGTTTCCTACCAGGTCACCTTGGGTCAGAGACTGCATCCAAAGCGTTCCCCTCCTTGCAAATACTGAGAAATGCTGGAAATGTATATAAAAAAAGGGAGTTTGGAGGGAATGCTTCTCATGCTAGTCAGACTTGGCACCTACTATAATTAAGACAGCTACACATGCTGGCAAATATGAAGACGCTTTGCTCCAGGATTTTAATGTATCTTAGGCTCATCCTAGGGACTAGGAAGCATTGGGGATGTCACTTTGAATTTCTTGCTGAGGTCTGCACCCACGTGTGGCAGAGGTGCTATCAGCATCCACGTGAGCAAAGCCCAAACAGCATCAAATAACTTCGCCTCTATAGTTTGTACACATATAGTTTGGGTGTTTATGTGTGGCTGAAACCAATAATGCACCTTCCCAATAGGGATGGTGAAAAAAATGATTTGCCAAGAGCAGAAAAGCCACTGTCAGAGGTTGCTACATGCTGGATTTAGCCCATGCCACGGACACGGACCTGTGGGTGCTCGGACATCAGGCTCAGACCAGGGCAGCTGAGGAAGAGGCACGTTCCTGCCGTTCTTGCACAAAAGTGCTGATTTGTAATTGAAGTGGGAAATTATATTGAATGACTCAGAAATAATGTTGGGGAAGAGATCTAATAGTGTAGTACTTAAACAGAAGCAAACCAGGTTGTAAGTGGAAGAGCTTGGAAAGTGGATGTGGCTCAATTTCCACTCATCATAACGTAGCTTGCACAGTGCCAGATTAAGGGCCAACAGCAAATGTGGCCCTACGCAGCCATCCCACCTGTAAGCAACCCCAATACTGTCAGTTTTGAAATACATTTCAGAAGTATTTGGCAGGACCGAAGAGTTAAGGAGCATGCCCAGGCAACGAGAGGCTGCCACCAAGCAGCCATAAAAGGGCCCAGGACTGACATCTCCTCGGCAATCATGATTCTTGCATTTCTGTGTGCTTCGTGTTGCCACTCTATTAATGTTTGGTAATCTGGTTTTAAGTAATCAAATACTGGATACAGCCATCTGGAGCCACTTCACTGCTGCATGCCCTGCTACAAAGAGAAGTTTCCTTAAAAGATTTTTTTTTTTTAAATACCTGTTCTTCAAATAACTCGGTGCTCCACAATGGCTCTGCGGGGTATTGTCAATCAAGCAAAATTACAGACTGACGTGACAGACAGTAATGGCTCTAAGGGGGTTGTTACCACCTATTGTGCCAGCGGGCCCTGCCTAATAGGAGTCTCCTCCACTTCTCATTAAAACTGCAATGGCTCCCGAGATTTTCTACATTACTGGTTATTTCAAATACAAGTTATCACGCTCACACACACACAAAAGCACATTCATGGCATGTTAAAAGTGCGGGCTAAATTGGGAAAAGGAAACTTAGATTTACAGGCTAGCATTATGCTCAGAAATTGCAGCACAGGCAAGGATTTGGGTAATTTTAAGTAAAATTTTTGTCCGTTGAAAGTTGGAATGGCAAAGCGGGTGATGCTGCCTGGGTGGTGAGATTATACCATGATGCTGTATGGACAAACACGGCTTCAGAAATAATGGCAGTGGGTGGTTTGGCTGTGCCATGGCTCCAGGATAAATTATGGCACCAGCTTCTTGGACTGATGAACTCCTTTGGCCTCTGTCAAGCAAGGTCAGGGCAGATGATCGCTTTTGCCCCTTCTGACTTCAAATTCTCTCAATTTTCCCCCAAGGACAGCAGGTTACTTTTGGCGGTCCCGTTCAGCAACCCCAAAAATCTCAGCATGGCATTTCTGGCCCCGAGTGATTTATTAACTTGCGAAAAAGGGAGAAAATACCACATCAGTGTGGGTTGAAGGGAAAATTATTCAGTGTCGGCTGCATCCTTTAGGGTCTGTCCCACCTCCACCACTTCCCAGGCGGGGGCCACCAGCTTGGGGATCCCTGGGGACATGGACACGGAGAAGAAAGGGTGATGGGATGAAGGGGATCCCCGTGAGGAGCAGGGGGATGTGAGTAAGACAGCAGCAGAAGGAAAGGTTTGGCTGCTCCAAGAAAACACTGGGATGGCACGCAAGCACCCATCGCAGGGAATCCCGAGCAATTTGGGCCACCCATGTAGCGGGATGGCCACTGAAACATTGCATTAGAGAGGGCACTAATTAATACAGGAGCTGGCACACGCTCAGCCGTGTGGCTGTGCCCAGCAGAGGGTAGCATTGCCCAAACACCCCGGCCTGTCTCGGTGTTTTCCCCAAATTTACACCTCCCCACCCGGCTGAGCTCCCCCAGGCACCAAACCCGCGTGGAAGTGGGAGCCGCAGGGGAAACCTCCCGAGCTCAGCAGTGATGGAAAATCCCTTTTCAGAGTGGCATTTTCAGGATTTTGTGAAAGGACACGGCGCATTTTAAGCAGTTGGGCGCACATTCATGAGTCGATGCTATTTAGTCGTGTCACGCCTCATTTTCAGCCACCTCATTTGATAACCGAGGGTTTGAGCCGCCCCCGAAAACACCCGTGGGTCCGCACCTGCCTCTTTAGTTCCCAACTTGGAGGAGAAATCCACTTTTTGATTTTTATTTTTTTTTTTTTTGCGCTTTACCGATTTGCAAGACATTGGCTGGAAACCTACCCACGGGGACAGCGCGCATTTCTGCCGTGTCACCGGGGGCGCATCCTGCCCCTCATCCCTGCTGCGGGGTGGGCAAGGGGCTGGGGGCCACTTTTGGCCCCCACGGAGCGGCTGCGCTCACGGTGGGCACCGCAACCCCAGCGCAAACCCCGCGCAAACCCCGCGCATCCCCCGCGCATCCCCCGCGCAACCCCCGCGCAGCTCCGGAGCACCCCGGCCTGCCGCCTGCGGTGTGGTTTTTATTTTTTTTTTTTATTTTTCCTTTCCCCCTGCTTTCCCTTTTTTTTTTTTTTTTTTTTTCTCTTTGCTTTCCCTCCCCTCCCGTTTGACGTGCGCGGTTTTGGTGCAATGCGAATTATCTCCAGTCATTCAGTCAGGAGGGGCAGCGCCAGGCAGCAGAGCAGCGGCGGGGCTGCCTCCTCCTCCTCTTCTTCCTCCTCCTCTTCTTCTTCTTCCTCCTCCTCCTCCTCCTCCTCCTCCTCCCATTGCCATAACAACCGCGCACAGCCGCACCGCGCCCGGGAGGCTCGGAGCATCCAACGGGGCCCCCGCACGCCCTACTTGGGGACAGCGGGGGGGTAGGGAGGGGGGGAAAAATTAGTGACCTCCCTCCAAAAAAAAAAAAAAAAGAAAAAAGAAAAAAAAAGGGACTTTTCCTCCCGGGGTGGGGGGAGCGAAGTGTCCCTGAGGGTGCTGAAGGAGGTGGGGGGGGACACGGGGCAGCCCCGGGGGCGGCACGGGGAGGGGCGAGGGGGGGAGGAAAGGACGAGGGGAAGGGGGGGGGGCAGAGAAAGTTGGGAGGAAATAGCCCAGGAAAAGTGGCACTCGTGGAGCCCGCCGGAGCGCGGAGGAAATAAAAGCGGCGGCGGGCAGGAAGTGTGAGGAGGAGGAGGAGGAGGAAGGGGAGAAGGAGGAGGAGAAGAAGGAGGAGGAGGAGGAGGAGGAGGAGGAGGAAGAAGAGCAAGAGCCGGCAGAGGCAGCAGCAGCAGCCGCTGCTTTCTCAGAAGAGAAAGCAAAAGCCGCAGGCGGCTCGGTGCCGCCCGGCATCCGCGGGGCTGCGCGGGGTTGCGCGGAGCGGCCATGGCCCGGGAGAACGGGGACGGCGGCGGCTCCTGGAAGAAGCAGGCGGAGGACATCAAGAAGATCTTCGAGTTCAAGGAGACGCTGGGGACGTAGGTGGAGGGGAGCGGAGCGGGGCGGGAGGCGCCGTCCCCGGGCTGCGCGGGATTTGCGCGGGGGGGATTTGCGCGGGGGCAGCCGCCGGGGTCGCTCCGAGCATCCCGGCCGGCAGCGAGCCGGGATTTTGGGAATCCCGGGACCAAACGGTCACCGGGGGTGTTGGTAGGTGGTGAGGGGTGAGGATGGCTGCGGGGCAGGCGGCTGGGGCTATCCCCTAAAAAGAAATTAAAAAAAAAAAAAAAAAGAAAAAGAGAAAAGAAAGAAAAAAAAAGAAAAAGAAAAAGAAAGAAAGAAAGAAAAAGATTAAATAAAAAAGAAGAAAAAGGAAAAGAAAAAGAGAAAGGAGAAAAAAAAGAGAAAGGGAAAAAAAAAGAAAAAAAGAAAAAAAAAGAAAAAGGAAAAAAGAAAAAAATAAAGAAAGAAAGACCCCCCCCTACGGTTTAAAATGTTAATAGGATGGGGAGAAGGGGAAAGGCTTTTTCTTGACGGTGCCGCTGTAAATAAATGCGGTCTGACTTGCGTGCTGTCCCCTAAAGCCGATGGCTGCATCCATTCGTGGACAGACGAGCAGAAATAATCGGAGTGGATTGGATGTGTTTTAGCTACGATGCTTAACTGTTGTTGGGCTTTATTTCTGTTATTTATAGTGGCGGGGCATAAAGATTAGTAAAACGTTAGAGTTTTTTTTTTTCTTCTTCTTTTTTTTTTTTTTTTTCTGAAGGCTCAGAATAAACATGCGCAGATGGTGGAAGGGAGCAGGGTGCAGGCTGATGCTTTTTTGGCTGAGCGGGGAGTTTTATTTCTGTTGAGAGAAATTTTCGCTCGTCGGATGTTGTAGAGGCAGAGAGCCGCGGTTGCTGGGGAAGGGCAGGGTGCGGGCTGCCGTGTGGGTGGGCGAGGACGTGAGCGCTGGGTTGGACAGGACAGGTGCTTTCTGGCCATGTCCCCTCCTGGTGTAAAGTCAACTTTGAGCACATCTCGAAGCAAAGCATCGCCGAGCCCAAGCAGTGCGTTTTTTCTCCGCGTGCCACTTCCTAAAACACGGCTGAACAAGTTTCGGCCGTGATATTTCAGTTTCTTGCTGCTTCCAAGGGAGGGCTCTCTACAAACGGAGTATTTCTGCTTCTGCTTCTGCTCATTTCCTACACACCAAGCGCGAGTGAGAAGCAGGGCTGGGTGCTTGGTGTGGAGGGGGGTCACGCTTCCTGTGTGGGGATGAGCAAAAAACAGTGCCCAGCTGGTGGCATTCGTGTCTGTCCAGGGCTCTGAAGATGTAGGATGAGGTGTCCCTGAGAGACGTGTCCCTGTCTGTCACCTTCAGCACCTTCCTGAGCAAAAAGGGTGTAGGGGAGGCAAGTCCTAACGCCAGGAGACTCGTGGGAGCAGTAGGACGGTTTGCTGTGGTTCCCATCACACAGCCCCGTGTTATCTTCCAACCTTTGGTGTATGAAGCACCTGCGAGGGTTAACTTGTACCTTTAGAGAGGTCCAGAGAGAATTAACACCGTGGACGTGGTGGGTATCCCACTGGAGCTGAGAGGAGCAGGTGTAGGTCCCAAGGTAGGTAGAGCTGGGTAGAGTTCATCGCTGTGCACATTAGGGGTGGCTGTTGCGAATGAAACCCACTCACCATGACCATTTAGTGCCTTGCACTCTTAAACATCGTAGCAAGGCCTTTGTGATGAGAGGGCAACCTGTGAGGCTTTAAAACTTGACCTAACAGTCAGCATAGAAACTTTCCGAAAATTAAAATAACTGCATCACAACCCTGTGCCTGTCTGAAGGAAGCAGAGCTGTTTCTTTTTCCCATACACAGGGACATTATTTCTGGGTGTAGGTGCATTTACCAGCCTACACCTCAGTCACCTCCTGGCTGTGTGCTCCTGAGCTGCCGGAGGGCAGACCGCGCAGATAAGGAGATGTGGATGTGAGTTTTGGATCTGCTGTGAAACTTGTCGGAAATCGAGACTATTACTGTGCAAATCATTGCAGGATTTCTTCAGCTGCCTGCTGATTCCAACCAAGGTCTGTTCACTGGCCCCAGCAGCAGATACACAAGAGCTCAAACCCTAGGACACACTCAGAGTTATTGATAGGAAAAAAAAAAAAAAAAAAGAGGAATTAAGCAAAAGTCTAAATACCTTTAGAGCATCTGGACCAAAAAGCTTTCTTCTAGCTTTATTTAGGAGCAGGGATAAAATCTGCTTTGATCCCTCCTGCAGTGTAATGCTGAACTGTGTTGGACATGCATCAGTCGATCTCATCAGTTAATAGATTTTTCTCTAGCACGGCTGGGGCTCGGAGTGGAAAACCTGGTGCCTCGGCTGAGGTGTGCTGGATTAGGGTCGTGGCTGTGTTTTGCATTGCCCTGCCACCTTCCCTCTCAGCACCTTCAGCAGAAAAGCAGCTCTTTTTCCTGTAATCTCTGCAGCTCTCTTAACTCACTGTGATCAGCTACAGTAAAATAAGCCCCAAACCCCTTAAATCAGGGAAAAAAGTCAAAGAGAAACTTTAAAAACATGTTATGTCAAGTGCATGGGTTTGTGAATGTTTAATCCGTGTGTACTCTATTAATGATTTGCACTCTGAAAGGAATCTTTCATTTGAATAAAAGGTTTTTACCAGATCTCTAGCATGTGGAGAGATAAAATTGCTGGAATTATTAAAAAGATCATAACTCAGTTAATCATGATACCTTTTGTGCTTCAAGAAACCTCTGATGAGTACCCAGCTCTCTTCCAGAACAGCTTTACAGCAGCAATTAATTATTTACATGCCCCTCTAAGTCATGTCCAGCCATATTGATAATGAAATAAGCATCCTGAATTGGACATCACCTCCAGAAGTAGGAAAACGGCCTTTTACACCCAAAGAAATGCTTCCTTCAGTGCCTGAGGTCCCTGCTGTTTGCTCTGCTCAGTGCTGGTAGCAGTAGGGTTTTCCTAAAGGATTTCTCAGCGATGCTGTCTGGCTCAGGTGGTACCGAACCCTGGGGATGGCTGCAGCCTCCCACAGGCACAATTTTTGTTTTATTTTCCCTTGCAAAGAGAGTTTTGCTCATACATCTCACCTTCCCTGGTGATTGTGGAAGTGGGAAGAGGGATGGAGGAAAAGGATTTAAGGCAGATGTCGGGGAAGGGCACTAAAAGCAGAGGTGGAAGGAAAAAGGGGAAGGAGGCAGAAAAATGAAGGGGGAGGGGTGGGAAAGTTGAGAAACTGAAGACGTGAGACTCACTTTTTGTTCTGTATTTACACTGTCCCTAAGCATGTGCGATCATAGGTTTGTGATTGCCATCTCTTGGGTATCAGGGTGTCAACAAGCTGTTTTGGTCATATTACTCATGAAAATATAACAAAAGAAACGTGGGCAACACGCTGATAAAATGTGGTTCAATTCTGTGGTCTTTAGATACAATTCCTCTTAGCCTCCAAACTCAGGCTTTCTGTTTTGTGTTTGAGTTTTGTGGCCATGGGAGCTGTGGTCCTGATTCATCCACGCATAACTACGGCAGCACAGCAGTGATTCGTGCTCTGCATGAGCAGCTTCGATGCAGGAAACTGGACCTGGTCACTCCTGAGAATTGAAACTGAGGTTACAGATCCTGAAAAAGTAGCTAGGAAGGAATACACAAAGCAAATCAAGGAAAAATAAAATCATAGCGGCGGGCCAGGTGCTCAGTGGTTGCAAATTTGAATCTCTTCCAAGCTGAAACAGGTAGGCTCGAGGAAAGAAGAGGATCTGATTAGCTGTTTATCTTCTTAAATTTCCACAAATTCGCCTATTCGAGCTCTGCTCAATTCACAAGCCTGCCTGGAGAGGGGGATTTCTGCCCCTGGGAGACGTGAAGTTTCACAATAGCAGGAATCTGATGAGAGGTCACCGAAATACCATTTTCTCACCACGTTTAACTGATATTATATCTAAAGCATTTTAAAATGAAGATTTTAATGGTTTGAGAAGTAATGTTACACAATGCTATCTTCAGCTGAACAGAGGAAAGCCTCTGATCATTTGGTCCATCTAATCGGATCAAGCTGGCATTTCTAAGATATCTGTCATTAGGCCTTATTGACATTCGAGTTATGATGAGGTTATCTTATTTAGGAAGGCTCAGACTTAATAACTGCAGAAATATTTGTATTTTCTGTAAAACTGCCATAGTAGATTCCTTACAGCATAGTAATGATAACGTAGGGAGTTGCAAGGACGTAGCCACAACATAGTAGTAGCTGGGTGGGAAGACAAGTACACTGCAATGATGTCTCCAGTACTTTAAAAAAATATAGTATAGAGAAAACTATAGGCAGTTCTGTTTTTCTTGGAGGATATTATTGTAATTTTTGTTTCCTCAATGTCCTGAGTCTCTTCCATAGTCTTACGATACCTGATGGGCTCCTGGTGCTCTGCTTGAGTCTTTTATACACCTGTAGGGTGCTTGTTCTCAATGTGAGATGCAGTCACCCGCAGCCCTGACCTCACATCTGTTTTCCTTCTCATGCATTATCCCAAACTCTTGTGCTTCATCTTCCGTGTTTTTGTCCTCTCATGTCCTTCTTCATGCCTACCCCAGTCTCATGCTGACACCCAGGCTTATCCTGAGCAGCTCTGCCTCGTGCTCCCTTCTGCTCATGGCTGCTCAGACCCTCATGGGGGCCAAAGCTGATGGAGGTGATGTTGTCCCTAACTCAGACTGGGCATTAAGCCTCCTCTGCTACCGGGGAGTACAAGAAGATGCTTGTGGCAAGGATGGATCCTGGCAGAGGTTCTCCAGATGTTTGAGGTGCTTTGAAGAGAGGAGGTGCTGGGAGGTGCCATTAAGTTCAAGCTCTGGTTGTCTCTGTTCAAAGATCTTCCCTTCTCATCAAGCAGGTGCCCAAACCACCAGTTATTGTAATCAACCACTTGTTGTATTCAATACAACAAATTGTACTGGTTAGCTCATTAACTTCAGGCATTGTGCGAGCTACCCAGTTGTTTTTCTCTTCTGATTTTG